GGGGGTCCCCGGGGGGTATCCTTCCGGGGACCCCCCCCCCGGGGAACGTCACATAAAGGCCCTTTTGGGCTCCTTTTGGGCTCTTTTTTGGAAAGGCGGGAGAAAAAAAGCGGCGAAAAACTTTCCCCCCCCCCCCCAAACGGCCCCGGGGGGCCACAAGCGGGTTGTCATTGGAGCGAGCGTGACCAAGATTGTCCGAGATTGTCCGATATTGTCCGATATTGTCCGAGATTGTCCGAGATTCACCTTGCGGCCGGGCCTCGCGTCGGTGGCGCTCACCGCCATCTTGAGCCGCGGCAGCTTGAGTCCCGCCTGGAGAAAAAGAAATATGCAGCTCAAAAAAGAAATACATGGCACGTCTTGAGGCGCGGCAGCTTGAGCCCCGCCTGGAGAAAGCGTGAGCATAATGCAACAGAACATAAAACAGCAACGACGACGACGCACGTCGGATTGGCCCACCTCCGCCATACGCTCGGCCATGCGGCGCTTGGCGGCCTCCGAGCCGTCCCACAGCCCGTTCGTGAGGAGCGCCTGCACCTGTAGGGAAAAAGAAAAACATTCGAAAAAGAAATGCGCGCGGGGGTGAGGGAGCGCCTACACCTCTGTCGCGGCGAGCGCCGGCTTGACCCACCTGCAGGGAGGGGTCCGAGAGGGCTCCGAGAGGGCTCCGAGAGGGGTCCGAGAGGGGTCCGAGAGAGGGGTCCGAGAGGGGTCCGAGAGGGTTCCCGAGAGGGCTCGTGTGGCGTGGCAGAAGAGCGCCGGTTCTGCAGCGCGTAGCGGAAGAGCATCTCGGAGAGCTTGGAGGCGCGGCCCGCCGCCGCACCCTGCGCCCGCTTGGTCGAGTCGCGGAGAACGAGCGACTGGGCGGGGCGGGGACATGGCACGTGCGCAGAGGAGAGGAGGAGGGTGTACGAGAGGAGAGGTTCGTGGGCAGAGGAGAGGAGGGGTGGGGTGTGGGGTGAGTGGTTCGTGGGCAGAGGAGAGGAGGAGGGGTGTTCGTGGGCCGGCTCGGGCTACGGCTGCGCGCTCGCCTCGGGCAGCCGCTCCCGGTGCAGGTGCAATCTCGGGTACTCTCGGGTGCGCTCGCCTCGGGCAGCCGCTCCCGGTGCAGGTGCCCGCACAGCAGCGTCAGGTTCCTGCGCACAAACGGCGGCCGGCCTGCCCGCTGATCGGGAGCGAAGCCGTCGACCTCCAGGCCGGCGAGGGCCTGCTCGAGCGCGTCGATGTCCGCTGGCTCGGCGCGCGCCTCCCCCGCCCTGCCCGGCGGAGCCTCGCCCGTCTGCCCGCCTGCCGCCGCGTCGGCGAGCGCCAGCTTGGCGAGGTACGGCGAGGAGGCGAGCATGAGCAGGAGGCGGAGGGTGGGGACGGGGCCGGACGCCTCGTCGCCCTCGGCGTTGAGGAAGGCGAGCACGCCCTTGGTCAGGTGCTCGCCGTCCGCCTCGGTCGGCAGCCCGCGCGCCTCGGCATTCTTGTTGACCTCGGCGCGGAATTTCTTCGCCTCGTCCGCGTGCTCCTCGTTCTGGAGGAGCTCGCGCTTGAGCGCCTCGCCCTCCTCGGCGAGCGCGCGCTGCTCCTCCGGCGACATTGCGAGCAGCACCTTGCGCACGTTGTCCTCGGTCATCTCCAGCCCGCCCATCCGCTTCTCGAGCGCCTTCATGAAGCACGCCTCGAGCTCGGCTGCAGACTGCTGCTCCGCCTTGGAGGTGGCCTCGTCGCCCGGCACAGGCTCTGCTTTGGCGCGCTGCTCAGACTTAGGAGCGGGCCCGGGCTTCTTTTTGGAGCCCTTGGACATTGTTGCCCGACTCGTTGCCCACAGGAATTGCTTGCAAGCGAGATGCTCAGGGAAAGAATTCCCCGAACCGCTATAGCGCATCACACCCCTCTCCTTAGAAGAGAACGAAGCGACAGAGGAGGAAGTGACAAGGGAGAGACCGACGAGAGTGGGACGGCCGCGAGGTGGCATGAAGGTTGCAGCGAGAAGCGGCGAGAGACTGCGAAAAGAGATACGAAGAGGCAGACTCCCCACCCAGGGTGGGCGACGGCTAGCGCATCACACTCCTCTCCTTAAAATCCCTGTGTGGTGGCGGCGTGCCGTTCTCCCATCCCTCCCTTGGGTTGTGTGTTTTCTTTCTTTCTTTTACCCCTCTCCTTAAAATCCCTGCGTGGTGGCGGCGTGCCGTCCTTCCATCCCTCCCTTGGAGGTTTCGTCACCTTTCTTTCTTTCTTTCCCTTCCCTGCGAACGCGCACCCCCCCCCCCCCCAGGGGTCAGGGCTCTCTTGCCCGTAGCCCGCCCCGGAGCATCCGGCCCGCTGGGTGCGCTTCTTATAGCTCCCCGGCCCTGGGTGTGAGGTTGCCAACTGCACTCCAAGTGTTCCAGATGCAAACCTGCCTGCAAAGCTGGGGACGTTCCGTCCGTCCGTCCAGCGTCCTCGACCCAGCCCTAGCTTGGGATGTCCGTTTTCTTTCTTTCTTTATCTCTCGGCCATCTCTCGGCCATCTCTCGGCCATCTCTCGGCTCCCTCACCACTTCGCCACCATGCTGCCGCCCGGCCTGCGTGGCCACGAACGAACCATTAGCGTTCCGTTTGTTAATCAACTAATTAATCAGTTCATTAACTAATTTATTACCCGTCACCATGCTGCCGTCCGGCCTGGCCCTTCAAAGTGCACACACCTCTAGAGCCTAGTGCCAGCGACCCGTCCCCTGCCCCCTCTCGCCCTTGCTCTACGCTCTACCTCTCCCGGCCCTCCACCAATTTCGGCGCTCGTGATCTGTATTGCGCCCACTTCCGGCCGCTGACCTGTATTGCACCTATTTTGGCGCTCTGATCTCGAGTGCCACCCTTTGCAGCCCTGTGATCTTGACAGCACCCCTCTCAGGCCTATGATCCTCAGCGCGCCCGCCCCCTCAAGGTCTGCTGATCCCCACAGACCCTGGGCCGTGGGTGCTTGATCCTGAGGCGCGCCCCCGCCGGTGCTGTGATCCTGAGAGGGATGTCTGTGATCCTGAGAGAGGCTTATCTGCCACATGCCCTCGCGCCCCGTACCCCTCACACTCATCTTCCCTCGCCGTCTTCGTCAACGTCATCGACAAGAAGATCGTCTGGTACGATTCCCTTGCGGCCGGGAAAGAATATAAGAATTCGGGAAAGAATTTGCTCGCTGTCAGGGCTCTATTGCCCGTAGCCCGCCCCCGAGCATCCGGCCCGCTGGGTGCGCTTGTGCGCTTCTTAGCTCCCCGGCCCTGGGTGTGAGTGAGGAGTTTTACCGACTGTGCGCTCCAAGTGCTCCAAGACCAAGTGCAAACCTGCAAAGGTGGGGACGTGTCCGTCCCCGTCCTCGACCCAGTCTTAGCTTCCTGGGATGTCCGTTTGTCATATTTCTTTCTCTTTCTCGCGGCGGTTTATCTCTCTCGCATCTCTCGTGGCCCGATCCCCGCGGGCGCGGCGCGCGGCCGCGGGCCCGCGCGCGCTCTCCGCTCCGCCGTGCGCCGAGCTCTCGGTCTCGCGTCTCGGGGCCATCTCTCTCGGGGCCATCTCTCGGTTCCCTCACCACTTCGCCACCATGCTGCCGCCCGGCCTGGCCACGAACCATTAGTTTCCGTTTGTTAACCGAGACCACCACTCTAAGACTGGGCCAGAGTCCACACCGACTGCTCCCCGAAGACTCCCGCAGCGCGGCGCGGCGCGGGGGGGGGGGGGGTGAGACAGCCAGACATCGTTTGCCCCTCCCCCTCTCCGCTCTCGGAGTTTTGCTCCACGTCTCGGCCTGTTTCTCTGGGAGGGTGCGCCGCATCTCGCGCGCCGCGTGGGGCACACCGGCACCGCGGCGTGGCCTCACCGCTGCTGCGCGTGCATCGGCGGCATCTGTGGCCTCGGCGACGCTGCGGCAAACGGCGGCACCCCGCCAAAGCTGGCGCCCGTCTGCACCATCATCGGAGGGCGCGCGCCGCCGCCCATGCCGCCGCCGCCGTACATGCCCGGCGGCGCGCCTGAGTGCAGGATTGGGGTTGGGGTCGCGGTCAGTGTGGGGTGCCGGGTTTGGGCGGTGGCGGGCGCGGGAGACAGCGGCGGCGGGGGCGGACTGGGCCGCGAAGGGGGGGGGGGGGGGGGGCCATTGGCAAGGGGTGAAGGGGGTCAAGCGGCCCACCCATACCCGGAGCACCCATCCCGGGGGGAGCACCCATGCCCCCGCCCATGCCTGGGGGCCCCCCCATGCCGCAAAAGGCGCCGCCCATCCCTCCGCCAATCCCTCCGCCCATCCCTCCGCCCATCCCTGTGGGGTGCCGCAAGCCCGTAAGGCGGCGGGGCCGGAAAACACCAAGAGGGGCGTTAAGGCCTGGGCCGGGGGGCCCCCCCCCGTGGACAGTGGTGTGTTTTTTTTGGGGGGCCGGGTGGATGAGCGGCCGGTCCGGGGGGGGGGGGGGGGGCCCCCTGGGGGGGGCCCCATCCCCG